CGTCTCTACAATAAATAAAAATTAGCTGGGTGTGGTAGTGTGCACCTGTAGTTCTGGCTACTTGGAAGGCTGAGGCAGAAGGATCGCCAGAGCCCAGCAGGTTGATGCTGGGTTGGCCATGAGCATGCCACTGCATTTCAGCCTGAGTGACAGAGTGAGACACTTCTGTTAAAAAAAAAAATAGTTAAGTTCTGGGGAGTCAAGAGTCACACATGGATTTTCAGCTGTGTGGAGGGTTGGTGCCCTGAACCTCCATGTTGTTCAAGGATCAGCTGAATGTTTAAGTGTATGTAATTGTATTCCTTTTGACATATGTATACACCATGAACCCATCACCAGTATTAAGATAATGAACAGGCCCATCATGCCCAAAAGTTTCTTTGTTCCCTTTGAGTATTTTTCTCAAATTGTAACTACAGGGAACAAAAGACTAGTTCTGGATTAAATAGTCTGATATTTAAGTAGTCCGTATAAACAGATTTCACTGTTATTTAGATTAAGATGATAGTACTACTAAAGCATGATTTATACAGTTCCTGTTGCTTTTGTAATGAAGAATTCAGTGTTTCCTCAGAGATTCAGAACACTGCCTATGACTTCTGCTTTCTTCTTATTTCTTTGCCCAGGGGTCACAGTTATTGAAAAACCATTATGAGCCTGAATGCTGCCTGAGACTTCTGTTTTTTTTCTTCTCATTTCTTTGCCCAGGGGTCACAGTTATTGATAAACCATTATGAGCCCGAAGGATGTTTTCAGCGTATTTATACATGAGAACAGGTTTCGACAAGTATTTCTGAAGTGACTGAGAATCTAGCACTTCTCCACTTGTGGCTGCACTTTAAGCTCAGCAGAAGACAAGAAAGTCTGCCTCTATAGGCCTCGGATACTGAAGATTATTTTTGGTAGAAGCACCGTGTAGGCTTTTTCTGCAATGAGCAGCAGCTGACTGAATTCTCCTAAGAAACTTGGACTGCAGAACTTATTCTGTAGTCTTGGGACAACAGTTGCTTTCATAAAGACTAGTTCTTATCAACCTTGAATGACTACGGATTATTCTGTTGAAGGAGAATGAAGTCATGTGTGTTCTTGTAAAATTAAATTTTATCTTTATTTGTTCTTCTGAAAATCTGTATACCAGGAACTGAGTATCTTTGAACAGGTGTGAAAATCTATGTAAGTATACAAACTAGTTGAGGGATAAAACGGTTTGCTTTTATAAAATAACTTTGATTACATGAATATAATGAATTGTGTGCATATAAATGTGTGTCTATATGCTTTCCTTTAAATATGTTTGAAAAGATGTTTAAAACTTGATTACACTATTTATAATTGGCACAGTACTTTGAATTATGCCAGTACTACATTGTAAAACAGAGTTGTATTTTTTGATATTTAACAATGCTTAACACTTTAAAATGCCACTTCTGAGGAATGAACATGGTCTAACACACTTGAACATGTGTGATGCCAAACTTTTTAAAATAAATATGAATTATGCTTATTTATTCTTTTCTTCAGTTTAATCTTGGTCATGTTTTGGTGTGTATTTTTAATTTTTAAAGTAACACTTTGGCATGAACATTACTGCAGGTTTTTGATGAATACAATGAATGTATGGAATTCAACTGAATTTGCATGGTCTTAAGAACTTTTTCTGTGTGTAAAAATTTAGCTGCTATTAACAGAAGAGAGAACTTTCTGTGAGTAGCCATGTGTGTTGATCAGATACGATTTTTCTGAGATCTTCAATTAATCTCACTTTAAAAATGACCAAAACATGTCTTTCTTGAATTATCTTTGAATAAAAGTTTGTATATTATTTGTTTCAGGTGTCCTTGATTTATATCTACCTAGCTTGATGTTAGGAAAGTTACCTGTTCTTTTGGTTCTTTTGTAAAATTTGCATTTTGTAACTTTAAATTTGCTGGCTAAAGTAACCTGTAAGAAAAGACTATTAAATCAGTAACTGAAGTCAATGAAAATTGTTCTACAAGAAAAGTAACCTCAACCATCAAGGGAAAGTTTCTCAAGGATTGGTGAAATTTAAACTTTTTTATATTTCTGTGTCCTTGATATGGGCAGGATATGAGATAAGGATAAAACAAATAGCAATAGCCGGGCTCGGTGGCTCAGCCTGTAATCCCGCGCTTTGGGAGGCTGAGGTGAGTGGATTGCCTGAGCCCAGGGTTCGAGACC